CCCCCAACCAGGCAGGACAAACACTGCAGTAACAACCTGGTTCACCTTCATTTATTTTTAATTGTGCATTTTTTTCCCCCCAACCACACCACATTTCTACAGCATCTTTACACTACCCGCCACCCACCCCATGCTTCGGCAGTTGCAGGGTTCTCCAGTCAGCTGCTGGTATTGCTATGTAAGCGTCTCCAGTGTGCCGGTCAAGTCAGGTGTACAGCGCTGGACCCACAGGGAGGGGAAGGTGGCGGGAAATGCAATCACAGCCCATGATCGCCATGTAAATCAAATCGATTCTGAAAGACAGTGCTAGGTGGTTTTAAATTGTAGGATTACGCCTAGGCATGTGCAACTGGATCTCCAGCACCCGTATTTGCAAGGCTCAGAGGAAGTTACAAGTTTGCAAGTTTTAACTAACTGCATTATTATGGAAGTCCCATGTATAGTCAGACCCCCACGATTAGCTAGTATCAGAACTCTGACACTGGTCCAAGCCAGTGAAAAAACTATTAAAACCCAATTAAAACCTCTACAGTATTAAATGTTTCTTTAAAAAAGACCCAAACAGCTATTTGATTACTCAAGGACAATAACAAAAAAAATATTTGAAGCATTAGTCTGTGCATGACTGACAAAACCCTTGCATAAAGCAAATTTACAAGTAACAAGTAACAGTATACCCTGAAATAATGGAAGGAAGAACCAAATCAGTAAAAGGTAAAGCAGAGAAAGCAGAAGTAACAAATCTAAGTCTATGAGGATATATGGGAATGCTATGGGCCACATACAAACTTAGGTCAAAGTAGGAAGCTCCGTTTTTAACCTCCTCAGTTGATCAGGAGGTCAAGTTGATCCTGAAATATTGCTGAAATACCTTAATAGGTATAATGTTTGGAAAACAAAAAAAATCATACAGGAACAGACTTGCTCAAAGCTCATCACTTTCTAAGCTTAAACTGAATAGCAATGGCTATGCAACTCTTTAAACATTCACCTGAATAATCAAGAGGCTAGGAGCAGCCTGGAAATGCCCTGTATGCTAGCAAACTGGAGCACCTAAGGCAGTGCCTTACCATCTGTCACCGCTTACCCTAATAGAGACCACGTTGGCTTGGTGTTTATGTACGTAATGTTATCTGTGTAACTCAAAACTGAGGCTACTCTATTCTCGGGTTGTTTTGCCTCCTCTGTGAGATATCGCCTAATTCAGCGTTAAAATGTTTTCTGAAGACGTGGGAATCGCGTTCTGTTATCGCATGTTTAAACCAAGGGAACGGCAGCAGATGCAGATACTGCAAAGCTGCTGTTACTAAGCTAGATAAAGGGAGAGCACTTGGTTCATCCAGCACCATTAACTGGAAGATTTCTGGCATCCC